ATATCGCGACGCACAGTTCTCGTCGTAATTGCAATGACCGATCGGCGAGCTTTCAAGGGGGCTCTATTAAAAATGTCAAATTTAACGAAATAAGAGAGAAAAATAGAGAAAATGTACGAACGGCCAGTCGATCATAACGACTCGTGAAAAAGTACGGCTCCGGACGATCTGGACTAATCGGGACTAATCGGGACTAATCGTGACTAATCGAGATTAATCGAGAGTAATCGACAATAATCGAGACTAATCGTGAGCCGCCGAGAACCTCGCCCCATCAGCCCACCCCCAAACTGCCCCAAACGCTCGACAAACCCGTAGCTGCGGCCTCGCTCCTCTTGTCCCTGTAGCCGCTGCAACGTTCGAACGCCAGCGTCCTCAGCGTCTTCTTGCAGTTCTGCTGCATATGGGCGGCGCTCGCGACCCCGAGGGCGCAGCCCAGGAGCAGCAGAGCCGCGAGGCCCGGTCCCTCCCTCGCGGCCGACATTGCCGACGGCGTCGCGTTTTCAGCGGCAACTCCCGAGCGCACCGGCCCACCCATCCGCTTATAATGCCCCGGCTTATCCGCGCTACGTAGCCCCGTCGCGGTCTCGCAATCGCGCGCGGCCTCCGGCGCCGGGGCCCTGTCACGCCGCCGGAATGCAGCCCCGCCGAGGACGTCGCGCTCCTGCGCCGCAGCCTTGAGCCGAGGCCCCGATCGCCGATACGACCGCCACCGTTGCTGTCACTGTCCCCTCTCTATCTGCCCCCGATTTCACTTCCTTTTCGCAGCGCGAGTCCACCTCCTCTTGGATGAATGCGAGGGACTCTGGCTGGACTACCGGGGCCCGTCCGCGACCTGGACGCTCCGGGACACGAAGTAGCCCCGAGACTTCAAATTCTCCAATTGGAATCGCCTTCCTTTCTCCGACTGAGCAACCGTTCTTACATCACAAGTATTTCCAAAACCATGGCTAGCCTACTTCTGGTTCTTCCATTCCCTTCCACAGTCCTCGTCGCATCTCGAATCACTTGCCATCGAAGTGCAAAACCACTGGTCACGTGGAATACACACTACGGTTCCACACCTGTGACATTATTTTCAATTTTTTGTGCAATGCGATGATATCATTGCTCAAGCTTGCATCGCCTGCTCGACTCAGACCACTAAGGATTAATATCGAGAAAATTCGTTATACAGTTTTCTAATAATCATGTTCTAATTTATTGGCGTAATCATATTATCATAAAGTAATATATAAATTATGTTCTTTCAAGTTTAAAGTAGCATAAAGCTTATTCGGAAGACTCGCAATATTGAATTTCAATTATTAATCATTATGCTACTTATTTAATAACATGTCCGTTTAGTTAGTTCTTTCTTCCAATCTCCTTTATCGCGACTAATTTTATTTACACTTAATTCAAATGTAATTTAAAATACTTATACGAGCACAAATTAATTAAGAATTTTTATAATCTCTTATCAAATTGAGGTTTACTTAAGGCCTCTAATAAAACGTCAGACCTTCGACTGAACTAATCCAACCTTGACCTAGAACCTAATCGTTCTCTTTATGAGGTCTCGATCAAGTACTTCAGGATTCTAATCAACTATGAATTTGTTATTCTTACTTTCTGTTACTCCTACTTCTTTTCAAAAAGTAAATATCTTTATCACTATTGAAAATATTACAAAAACATTACTAACAATATCATTTTTTTATTTTCTAATTTTTTTTAATACACCACATGCAAACACGCGCGCGCGCGTGTACGTTCGTGTGTATGTATGCTCGAACTTTTTTTTTTATTACATCTAATTAAACTTTCTTCGTCATTGGATTCTTAATAATGTTGTTGAATATACATAAGTCTAGAATCATTTTACCTTTTCAAATAATTTAAACCTCTGCAATTGCCTTACAAGATTTTTAGTTATTACACTTAAAAAATGACGTTAACTAATAATTATCCCATGATTTATATACAGACATAAATAAGTTAACTATAAAGAAATCCTTCGCTTGGTCTAAAGACTTTCAAAAACAGGAATTATGGCATTCACCAATATCATATGACATACTGTCATACGATATGCAGTGTAATACTTCAACGGAATTAGTACACCATATATACATTATAATATGTTATCGTTGTCACGCCTTTGCATCAAGTTGAAATTAAGTTTTGAAAATTATCTTATGCTTGTCACTTTAAAATAATTTAATATTTTTTTTTTTATTTCAAATAAAAACGTAACTTACGTACACGTTTCACTTAATATGCAACCGCCTTTGATAGAAAATAGAAACGAATGTTCTATATTTAACATAACGACTTTTCACACTATCGTCATTCTCTTATTCTGTAACAAATTATGTAAATACAAAGCTCAGTAAGCAAAAAATGCTTTAAAATTACGTAAAACTGTCTTCTATGAAAATTATTGCATTACTTATCAGTTTAAGCATTGACAAAATGGTAATTTCATTGTAATACTACATAAGCAGTTGCAAATAAAACATTAATAATATACAAAGTATTTACGTTTCTACTAAAATGAAAAAAAATTTTTGAACAATTTTTCATTTCTTTCATGCATCTACAATTTTGATTATAATCATATCTATAAATTTTGCACGATAATTATTTTCTTTTTATTACCATCGACATTTATATTTAAAAATGATCATAATCATTTGAATAAGGTATCTTATTATAAGGTATCTTTGAAAATACTATTACTTAAAAACAAAAAACAATAAAACAACATAATATTTTAATCCATAGTAATAAAATATGCTCTTTGATGAAAATTACTTTTAATGAAAATATATTACACTTCTATTATATATTCTTGAAACTCCGTCTGTACAACAAAGTTTAATATATTTCAAGGAAATGACATTGTATATAAGAAAAAATTATTTAAATTCAGTATTTAATGGTAACATTTATTTTAAAGTTATTATTTCTAGCTTCTGTGAAAAAATTTTTATGTACAAAGTGGGCTCGTTTGAAAAATTAAATAAATATATAAATAATATTTAATCATTGATTTTGACCTTTTATGATTTAAAAAACAATCATTTTTTCATAAAAACTTGAAAGGCTCTTACCAATATTTATTTTTGCATATTAAAATAGGTCAATATAATAATAATTTGATATTATCAAATGTATTTCGATTGACAATATAACTTTATTAATACAATTAATTATATATTTAATTATCAATCCTTTTTCATTTAAATAATTAAACAATTTAGATTATTTACTTCTGCAAAATAGTATCATAATCAATAAAAATGAAAACATTGCATTAAAAAACTTTTGAACATATAAACGAGACACAATAGCAAGCAAAAAAAAATTAATTTTCATGTACATAAAAAATGGGCTACAGTACTACCCTCCTCCCCTCTTTCTCCTTCTCGTACTCTCTCTCTCTCTCTCTCTCTCTCTCTCTCTCTCTCTTATAAATACCAGTAAATTGTTATATGGAATATTCTTTGAATTTAAAAAAAAATAGTCTTTTAGAATTCAAGATTTTGCATAAAGTTTAGCTTTACGAGAAAACATTTCAATAGTCCTAAAATTGAAAAAATATATAAACATTCAATTTAGCATTGTAAATTTAAGTATTTTCAGTTATTTTAACGCAGAAGAATTTTACATTTAATAAGTTAAAAATAATTTCAGGTAAAAACAATCTCTATCTCAATTAAAAATTTGTGTTCTAATACTAAGTACAATGACATATTATTCATTTTTATTTGTAATTGAAAAATGATGGCACTTTTTAATTTGTAATTCTATACAAAAATTATAATAATATATATCGGAAATGACAAATAAATCCACAATTATAAATACATTTTAATTAATAATAGATTAATATGATATTGAAACTAATATTCCATTTACGATTATATAAATTATTATATATTCGAGAAATCCCTTTAAAAAAGTTTTAAGTATGTTTTTGTTGACTAGTCGAGTAAGTCGTAAATAATAATCATTTGCGTTTGAAATATTAATCATAAAAGTATCTATAAAATTCAATTTTATCAACTTTTAATATTTTACATATATGCAATGACGGAATAGTAATGATAAGGACATTTTTCAAGCATGTTAGTGTGTAAACAAATTTCTTCTATATATGACAATATTTTATAGAAACTTCATTGTTACAACTACACGAATATTTATTTGTTTATATTTAAAACTTGTACGTTATTTCTCCAATTGCATTATATTTTATTATATTATATAAATATTGAAGTCAAAATGTTAGTTGAAATTACTGAAATTGGAAGAATACTATCCATTCTATGGAAAAAATCGCCTTATGTGTTCAATTTCGGAATTCATCTAGCAAAATGTAAGTACAGAATCATTTCTGCTTTTTCCACCAAATATAACGTTTAATAATTAAATAACAAACGTGACTGATGAATAAGTATTTCGAACTGTTTATGTAAAATAACGTTTATTCCTCTCTATAATATACTTTGTTTCTTAATTAAATAAATTATACTACACGTCTATAATAAATAATACACCTTTCAAATTTCTTTCTTTTTTTATCATGTATATTTTATCCAAAAAATTTTTATTAAAAATCAAATATTATGTAATATATATTATATAAATAACATATGATCAACAAATTTTCTACACAAATGTCCTTTATTATCGCATTCTTGATTTTCATTCAAATAATTAATTATTATCGAGAAATTCGTGTTTGTAAGTTGTAATTGTATTTTTACTTTAAAGAATAATAATAAATATTTAACATTCAACTTTATAATTAATAATAGTATGTAAATTCAAGTATATGATTATGATTTCGTATAAAATTTCCAAGTTCGTAAACAATAATAATAAATACTTTGAATTTACAGATTTTTCATTAAGAATATTATTTCAGGCAAATTAATGAATGTGAAGCAAATGAAGTGTTTAAATTTATTAATTGTAAAAATTCGTGTAAATATAGTTTCGAAGCTAATATAAATTATATAACATTGTAAATACGATCAATCTTCTTTTTCAACTTTATCCAACTTATGATGATTCTCGCATGTGTAATGTACAAATGATTGTTTTTCTCTTATATATATTTGGTTAGAAATTATTCAATTATATTTAATATATAATATTTATGCAATAATAAATGTACAAATTAAAAAGAAATTATATAAAATATTGCGGAAATCATTGATCACATACATTACGATTTTTTATTGCTAAAAACCTTTTTTATATATATCTATAAATATTGTATACATGAACTTTTATTCATAGTATTGAATTCAATTACTATTAATTCAATTAGTATAAATCATTGTAAATAAATTGCCCTAAAAGTTTCAAAGCATATATATATATATATATATATATATATATATGTATGTATAATTCAATAATAGATTGAAAATAAGTGTAATATAGTAGGGATTCTAGTGAAAGGAAGAGAATGAAGCACAAGATGAAAGGATCCCAATAATAATTGTATAAAAATGAGATTGGAGTTGTTTTTATCTACTTCATGCGACAATAGGATGATAGTTACAGGGCTAAAAGAGTACTTGCTAACGTAATTACGCGCCAATCGCAGTGCGCGCGCACACGCACACACGCCCATAAGTTCTTTTTTGGGTACCGGCAGCGCTGTGATCGGTTAACGACCGAAGCTCAGTTACGGGTTTGACACGTATGCCGTTTTATCCACTATAAAAAGCTAAATGTCAATTACTTACGAACTTTTTGTGTTGCAAATCTCATCCGCCTTGTAATTGCGAGGTATTTTCGCTAAACTTTCTTTTCAGCTCATTGCTTTTATTATCGTATTGCAGCTGTGGCAGGTGTTTGTCCACTATGAACCTAACCTACCTGCGTACTGTAATTCTAAACTGCAATATATGTTACTGCGATATTTTAATGTTTTTGAGTTAAAGTTTAGTCGTGCTAGGGCTCACAGAACCTGTATTTTTTTATTTTACAGCAGGATTCAAGCAAATAATTGATTTTGTGATCCACCAGCAAGATGAGTAGCATAGTAGATCAAGCATGTTACACACTAATAAACATTCCTACAGACTCGGAGCCCTTGAACGAACTTCAACTTAAGCAAGATCTCGAGAAGGGCGATGTTAATGTTAAGATAGAAGCTCTAAAAAAGACCATCAATATGATACTAAGCGGCGAAAGACTTCCTGGCCTACTTATGATTATTATAAGATTTGTTCTACCACTGCAGGATCACACCATTAAAAAGCTCTTACTCATCTTTTGGGAAATTGTACCTAAGACAACTTCGGATGGAAAACTACTTCAAGAAATGATTTTAGTATGTGATGCATACAGAAAAGATCTGCAGCATCCGAATGAATTTGTTAGAGGTTCTACTTTAAGGTAAAATTAATAATTATAAAAATTAAAGCTTAAAAGTTTAAATTGCAATAGAATTAATATTTTTTTAACAAAAGCAATGTTTATATGAAAGTTTTCAATAAACTGCAGAGTGTATACTACCGTGAATTATTATATAAGTATAATTAGAACTCCCATGTTTTGCAGTAAATTACTTTAAAATTATTAAGCGTGTTATTTTCTGAATGCTTTAATTTTTTCCTTAATTATTATATTTTATGTATTCTCATCTTTAAATCTATCGATCTTACATAATTTGAGTACAAAAAATAAAAGAATGATATAGCATGTATAAAAATAGTATAAAAATATATCGATATTACTATATTGTTATTTTTAGTGAATTTTACTTTAGTCCTAATATAATGTGCCTTAAATTTTTAATATCAAGTCATTTCATTAGGTTTTTATGTAAATTAAAAGAGCCTGAACTTCTGGAACCACTTATGCCTGCCATAACTGCTTGTTTAGAGCATAGGCATTCCTATGTAAGACGCAATGCTGTTTTAGCAATATTCACAATATATAGAAACTTTGAATTTCTTATTCCCGATGCTCCTGAACAAATTGCAAAATATTTAGAGAGCGAACAAGATATGTCTTGCAGAAGAAATGCTTTTCTTATGCTGTTACATGCAGACCAGACCAAAGCTCTTTCATATTTAGCTGCCTGTTTAGATCAAGTTCCAAGCTTTGGGGATATATTGCAGCTTGTTATTGTCGAGCTCATTTATAAGGTACGGCAAACTTTTTTAAACGACAATTAATTACAATAAAATTATACTATAACATCTAGTTTTTAAAATAGTTAAAATTTTATATTGGACAATAACTTCTTATAATATTTTAAAGAGTGCAATAAATTGAGTTAGTTATAAATTGTATTAATCATAATAATTTTTGATATTCTATAATTTATTAAATGATATATATATATATATATATATATATATATATATATATATATATATATATATATATATATATATATATATATATATATATATATATATATATATATATATATATATATATATATGTATAATTAGATTACGTTTGTTTGAATTCACATCTCCTCTTTTGAATTCACACAGGTCTGTCTAGCTAATCCATCGGAGCGTGCACGTTTCATCAGATGTATTTATAGTTTGCTAAACTCACCAAGTGCTGCAGTGCGTTACGAAGCAGCTGGTACATTGGTAACTCTTTCGAATGCCCCAACTGCCATTAAAGCTGCTGCTTCCTGTTATATTGAATTAGTCGTTAAGGAAAGTGACAATAATGTAAAACTAATTGTCTTAGACAGATTAATTACCATGAAAGATAGTCTTAATCATGAAAGAGTTCTTCAAGATCTTGTTATGGATATTTTGCGTGTTCTAGGTATGCGCTGTTCGTCCATTAACGACATGCAAAATTTACATTGGGATTAATATTATTAAAGCTATTGTATAAACGTTAATTTCCTGTTTAGGCTCTCCCGCCCTAGAAGTTAGAACCAAAACGCTTGCGCTTGCGATGGATTTAGTCACAACAAGAACGATCGAAGAAATGGTCCAATTATTGAAGAAAGAAGTAATTCGAACAACGGGTGGTGAGCAGGAAGATGCGGGAAAATATAAACAGCTTCTTGTAAGAACATTACACGCTTGCTCGATCAAGTTTCCAGATGTAGCAGCAACAGTAATTCCAGTATTAACGGAGTTTCTTTCTGAAAATAGCGAATCAGTAGCAAACGACGTACTAGTCTTCATTCGCGAAGCAATTCAAACATTTGATAATTTAAAACCCCTCATAATCGACAAACTTCTCGAGGTATGAAATAAAAGAAAAAAATTGTTACTCATTTTAACGATTCATTATCATTTTATATTGAATTTATCGAGCATACGCATTACTAAGGTCTTTCCACAAATTCGTTCTGTCAACGTTCACCGGGGAGCATTGTGGATCCTCGGAGAATATGGCACCTCCAAGAACGATATCGAAACTGTTATGGCACGTGTAAGATCCGTTCTTGGTGAATTACCCCTTATTGAGGCGGAAAATAAAAGGCAAGCTGGGGATAAGCCAGCAGAGGAAGAGGAAGCAAATCAAGCTGCGCCAGCCCAGCTGGTTACCTCCGATGGGACTTACGCGACCCAAAGTGCATTCAGCACATCATCCGCAGGTACAATTTAATTTTTTGCTTTACCTTGTGGTAAACTAAATTTTCTTCACAAAATTAACGCTCTCGCCTATCGCTCGTTGCATAAAAGCAATAATCCACATGTAATAATAACGATTAATCGATTGTGTAGGCAAAAAGGAGGAAAAACGCCCGGCTTTGGTTCAGTACATGATGGATGGAGACTTTTTCATCGGTGCCTCTCTTGCCACGACCTTGGCGAAACTGGCACTTCGGTACAAAGAATTGGAGAAAGATACAAAGAAGAGCAATAGAATGCAAGCGGAGTCAATGCTCATTATGTCGAGTCTCATTCAACTTGGCCGGTCTGGTCTTCCCTCCAAAGCTATGACGCACGACGATGCCGAGAGAATTTCTTTATGCTTACGATCCTTGGCATGCCCAACTACCATTGTTGAAAAAGTCTTTACGGAAGGTTGCAGGAACGCCCTGGGCAAAATGCTCACTGCCAAGGCCGAAGAAGAATCGCAAAATCAGCAGGTAACATTTATTTATCGTCAGAGTTGCGTAATATAATCGCGGGCATGAAGTTAATGCGTCTAACGTCAATGCATGGAATGTAGGCGAAGGAAAAGCCCTGCAACGTCGTGCAGGTCGACGAGGCGATTCAATTCTTGCAGCTGACGCGTGGCTCGGATCTGTCGGGTGGTGCTGGCGACGTTTTCGAGCAAAGCTTAAGCGCCGCTGTAGCTGGTAGGCCAGGCAGCGAGAAAGAGACACCAGCGCCAAGTGCCTTGAGCAAAGTAACTCAGCTGACTGGCTTTTCGGATCCGGTTTACGCCGAGGCCCTCGTGCATGTCAATCAGTACGATATCGTCCTCGACGTTCTCATCGTTAATCAAACGGAGGATACTCTGCAGAATTGCACCCTCGAATTGGCAACATTGGGCGATCTAAAGCTTGTCGAAAGGCCCCAGCCAATCGTTTTAGCCCCGAGAGACTTCGCGAGCATCAAAGCAAACGTCAAGGTTGCCTCAACGGAGAATGGAATTATATTCGGTAACATTGGTAAGTCATTGCGCTTTCTTTCTCTCACAACCAATCCAATTCAAGTGTTGAAATTAACTTAAAAGTGAAACATTAACTCGAGCAATATATTCAGCGTGTAAATAAAAAAGTTTCAGCTTAATATTCGATGCATATTATATTATGGCAATTGTATCAGTACAACGATAAATAATATAATTATTTTCTTCCACACCCCCAACCCCTCTATCCCCATTAGTATACGATGTTTCTGGAGCTGCGTCGGATAGAAGTGTCGTGGTCCTCGATGATATTCATATTGATATAATGGATTATATCGTCCCAGCAACGTGTACGGACGCCGAATTTCGACAAATGTGGGCAGAATTTGAATGGGAGAACAAAGTCTCCGTTAATACAACGCTTTCGGATCTTCGAGAGTACCTTGCTCATCTTCTCAAATCAACGAATATGCGTTGTCTCACGCCAGAAAAGGTAAATACTAAGGCTAACTTTATAACACTATTATGCTAATATTTATCATAATTACATTTAACTCTAAAGCGTATTTAAGTAGAATATTTATAAGAATCGACATTATCTCTCAATTATTGCAGCTGAAACTTAATAAAAACATCGAATCAATTACTTTGTAAAGCATAGTTAAAAATCACTTGAAGTGTTAGGATTCATTTCAATTTAATGTTTAATTGTTTAATTTAAGTACGCAGTATATCCAAATATAAATGTTTCTACTGATATCGATAAAGGATAAGAAGTCTTTGTCATAAGCTTTGCTCATACTATAATTACTCGAAATACATTTGCAGGCCCTTTCTGGACAGTGCGGATTCATGGCAGCGAATATGTATGCTAAATCAATATTCGGCGAAGATGCGTTGGCGAATTTATCTATTGAGAAGCCATTGAATAAAGTAGATGCACCAGTGGTCGGTCATATTCGTATTCGAGCCAAGAGTCAAGGGATGGCATTGTCACTTGGCGATAAAATTAGCACCGCACAGAAAACTGTTCAGAGCAAAGTTGTACAAGCAGCTTAATTGATTTTATCGTAAATAAAAGGGGGCGTTTTTCTTTTTTTTTTTTTTTTTCTTTTTTTTTTCGCAAGAATTCGCGCGGTTGGTATATAATTGAGGAATATAATAATTCCTCGATATCACAGTTTTTATCATCGACATCCGTAAGGATATCTCTGTTCAATTTTTTGGAAATATGTGAGGACTGTGCGAATGAAGAATGGCTTGGACTAAAGCTAACGAATTGTTACTAAAGCCAATGTTAATAGCACACAAAAACAGTTTTAGTCGAATTGCGTTTAACAAAGGAGAGAAGATGCAATGCTGAACGAAAAGTTGGATGATTGTTCATTGCCGATCGTATAAAAGGATAAGATGCATGTATTTTTAGTTGAATAAATAAATATTATATATATATATATATGTGTGTGTGTGTGTGTGTGTGTGTGTGTGCATTTGTATGTGTGTGTGTATGCGCGCGCGCGTGCGATTGCGTGCTTGTGTGTGTATATATATACACAACCCCCCCCTCTCTCTCTCTCTCGCACACGCACACACACGCACGCACACATATGCATACATACATAACATAACATAAACATTTATTTAAAAAGTTCTTAATAAAATTAATACATAGTAATTAAATCAAATTAAATTTTTAACGATAATGCATAAATATGAATAATATTTAGAATTGTAAAATATGTACAATATTCAGTGTTATGATTCACATTTTTATAGCACTCGTATTTGTACAAAAATATTATATGTCCAGAGATGCCATTATAATTATGCCATTAAAAGCGAAAATATTTTCGCATCCGATAAACAGAAAATTATATATATATATGCTCACTCTCTCACTCTCTCACTCTCTCTCTCTCTCTCTCTCTCTCTCATTTCGATTTTATTAAAAATATAATTACTTAAAAAAAATAACTGTAAAGTGTTAGAATTCAGAGTTTACATAATATTAGTATTATATGCTATCGTACAAACAAGTAGCAGAACTGTAAATGTATGAATTTAAAAAATTTAGTAATTTCATTGTTGCATTATTTAGACTACGTGAAATATTATTTACGAAATAATTGTATACAAAATTTCTCGAATAATACAGCCAATTTTCCACTTTAAGTTTCCATCGCTGATCATCTAGTCTCGGCACACATCGGCAGTCGATACAATAGATACCCCAAATCCTTCAGTCCCGCTTCTTCAAAGCCAACCTCTACCGCCGAATCTCGGCGATCTATTTCTTGCGGGTGGTATATTGGATGATTTTGTCTCAGCATCGCCGAGTTTGCTATTTCTATTGGAATTTATCAACCTCGCACTCGACGTCATCGGGACGGACGGCATCTCGTACCTCGGCATCAATTTATCAGTGCTACTGCCACTGCCGTCGATAACGCCGCTGTCGGAGGATTCTACATTTGGCAAATGTTGCACGGACAGTATCTCACTGGTATTATTCGTAGTAGGCCCGCAGGGACTCTTAGGGCAGGGCGCATCTGGAGTCGGCACCAACGACTTTCGCTTCATGACCCGCGGCGGCGATTTATTCAAGGGTACAACTGGACGTGGCACGATCTGTCCTGACATATTCCGACAACGTTCCTCCAGGTAGTTCAACACTGCCGGATCGTACGTCTGAGTAATCGAAATCTTCTTTACTTTATCCAGTTACGAGGCGTCACAGTTACGTTTTACGTCGGGAAATTTGCAAATAAGATTACAGACCAGGAAGAGGGTAGACATTTAATATAAAATTTATACCGAAATTTATTCGCGCAATTGATCATTGACCGTCAAGTTACAGAATTAATTATTGTATAAATCTTGGCTTGACTTCGTTGTATCGAATTTTATAGCTTTCGACTCTGTCAACTTTTATCATCGTAGTCACAAAATTTTGAAAATTAGCATTTAGCGTGAAAATAAAGTTTGGCAATTACACCATAACATTAATATTATGCACGAACGATGCAATTTTATTGATAAGCTAATAATATAATATCGTTTATGCATTTCTTATTAATCCTTAAAGTCATGAATTTAGCAGATATTTTTTTTATCGCTAATTAATTATATGCTTTAATCATAATCTAAAAAATATTAATAATCTCTTAAGAATTAATTTAGTACGAATGTTTTCTTCAACGACCTAAAAGTCGATTTATTTGATGTTTCGATATATTAATCTCAGATTAATCTTATTAAAAATTAATAGAATTTCATTAGCCAATTATATCTAATATTATTATATTATGTGTCCTCGTTTAGTCTGTTAGTAATAACTTTATGAACATCTATTTTCTTTTTTTTTTTTTTCTTTTTTTTTTATTTTGTTTTCTTTTATCTTTTCACCGTATCTCGGAGCATGAATCAATGGGGATAAAAAAATCTCTCATACAACCTTCGAGTTTTCGCTTGTAGGAGGACAGCCGTGACCGAAACTCATCGTCGACGAATTATCCTTAAGCGCTTCTGGTGCATTGCTATTCTTCAGCACCCGGAGGATATTCGTTGGATTTACTGGCTGAGGCAATCGAATTGGCGATAGCTGCGGCGTTAGGCTCTTTAAGGATAATCGGTGTGCCTCCTCCATAACGCGTTTCAGGTTCGCCTGGGTTTTGAGGGCCATTCGGTTGTTACTCTTCCCGATTTGTGACTTTTTTACTGTGCTGTCGATTACCTAGGCGCATAATTTTTACGTAAATATTTGGAAAAATGGAGAGGAAGCCGAGCGCGTACTGTCCCATACTTTATAAATAATCTATTCATTTACTATCTAATTTAGTAATTATAATTAAATGTTAATAAATAATCAATTATTATCTAATTTAATAATCTAATTTATAAATTTTTATCAAAAGTTTGAAAAAGTTTTCGCTTTCAAATTTTGCCTTTACGTAGCGTCACACTCGTGGTATATTAGCGCGAATGTAAGTCTCTTTGACTCTCGAATTGCTTGTCGGCGAACCTGTGTCCAACGATACTCGGCGGATTTAAGAACGGCCAGTCGTGCTATCCTTTTCCATTTTGCGGCGACGTCTTCATCTTCCGGCGGCTGTTGGAGCAATTTTATCTCGTCGGTCGAGTCGTCAACTGACGATGCAACTTGGAAGTCCTTCATCAACCTCCTCTCCCACACTCGCATCTTCTTGCCGAGAACAGCTGCGATAAAATTGTTATTGTCGAGGAAAAAAAAAATTTTCACTAAAACAAGACTGTAACTTTTTTCCCCCGATGTTTCGCAATGTTTTTCACAATGTTTAATCTCGACTGACAGGCGGAAAGAATAGAATTTTTTATTTTCACTCTGTAAAAGTGCGTTCACAACGACGGATTCATTTCAAATTATTTGAATTTCTCACGATGAAAAAATATAAAATATTTTATTTGCACAATTAATCTCACGTAGACTATTGAGATCAGATCGTTCCTTCGTCCTATATTCCCTATATTTTAATGAGTTGATAAATTATAATTTTGATATTTCATAGCACACGAGCTTGTTAAGCAAACTTTTAATAATTTCTTTTTCTTTTTATACGCGTTAATTGTTCAATCGCAAGGACGTGTATTTTCAAGTACATTCATAAACATACAATTTCATTAACCATTGTTTAATTGCAAAAAAAAAAACTTTTTGTATTAGTCGTGGCATTATCTAAATACTTATAATATTTATCAAAAAACTTAATATCTTTATTAGAATGACTATTACGTTGTGTACTCACTGCGTTCCGAAACGTCAGCCCCGCTAGTGTCCATTCCATTCTTTTGCAGGATTTCTAGAAGCTCGCAACGCCAAGATGAAAAATCAGATTTAAGTTCGTGTATGTCATCCTCGGTCACCGGCTCCATTTCATGTTCCTCGTGAGCATTAACGACATATCGCCAAATCAATGCTTTCATAACTGAACCGTATCTGTGCGTTTTTTTTCAAGCAAAAAAACAATCAATAGATTTTTATGAAATTTCTTTGGAAAGTTTTAAAAATACAAACAGAATGGAGATAGCTGTTTCATGATGTAATTATATGTAAATTTTGGTATAAAGTATTGATTAATAAATGCACATAGACCTTTTTTTTCTACGGAACTTAAAAAAAAACAAAAAATTAATAATAATTATAATATTTTACTTTCAATCAAAATTGCAAATTATTTTTACCGACTTATGACGATTTTATTAGATAAAAATCAATTAGACAAAATTAGATAAAATATATATACATTAAAAATGGTATGAATATTTCGTAATAACATTATTTTAAAATGTAAATTTTTTTATTATTAGAATAATTAATTACTTTTACTTTATCTATTAACAAAATACTATTTCAAGATAATGGCAAGGGATTTATTTACCATTCGAATGATTCTAAATTTAAAGAATCCTGAAAATTGCCAAATTCCTTGCCATTGAGAATTAAAGAATTATTAATTACATATGCTTATAGTTATTAGTTTTCTTAAGTTATAAGGCATAAGGCATTAGGCATTTTTCTTATTAACAGGTACATAAAAAACATCAAATTGATATTTCTTACGTGTATTCACTTTATTTGCTGCATTTTGTTGCGATGTAAATTTGGTTTGAAATTTATAGATTATAAAATTAACGCATATATATATATATATATATATATATATATATAAAACACGAATTCGGTATATAAATCGTATATCGATATATAAATTAGAAATTCGTTAAAAGTCTCATCATTTCATTAAAATATCTCTTGTTCAATGATATACCAAATTTTATCATAATTTGTTATTACAACATTTTTCTATATAGAGTAGAAAATTTATCTTAATAGCGACATCGCAAATTAACAAAGGCGTATATTAGAATTTCTGATAAGAAAGATACGTTTCAGTATTTTCTAATTTGATACTAATTTAAATAGATATACTTCTGGAAAGGTAATTAGATCTGTAGAATAAAATTTTAAAGAACAGCTGCATACTCATATGGAAATTGTATGCATAATTAATTTGAAGCTGCACATCAGAGAGAAAACAAAGTTTTATCTGATAAAAATTATTCAGTCACTTATATTCCGAAGTTCCTTTAGTAATATCAGTAAAAAGTTTTATTACCAAAAAATCATAAATATTAAAATTTTTGGGCGATAAAAGTGTGGAAATTTAAATTAATTTACAGAACGTAGAAATCTGATAATCATTTTACAAAAAACCTTTGAATCTCATATTGGCTAATGTTATTCTTATTAATATTTTCTTTTCTAATTTATAATGTATTTCTAATATATAATAGAACATTTATTCAATCATACGAAATGCACGCAATAATAATTATAGGAATTTCTATTAAATTGACTTGTATAAAATTTTATGCATGAAAATTTTTTTCTTCTTCTCTTTAATTACATTTGAATAAACA